ATGGCAAAGCGTGCTTCCCGCTTTACTTCTCACTGCTTACTTCCAATGTAGACGGTCCTTCATACGAGTGGACAATCGAAGGAGCGTAGCAAGTGCGTAGGGGAGTATTTTCGGCTCTTCGATGGACGTCTTTCGGAAATCCGTCCCTGGTCCTCGCGACGTGGCCAATTTAGATATCGCGTCTCGAGACGTTGACGTACGGTGGCGCGAGTCATTAAGCGGTGCCGGGCTGATCGATAAATTGTAATCAGCGTAATTATACAGTTGCTCGCAAACCCGCCTTACGCCTGTCCGCGCGGCTGTACGCTGCGTGTAGCCGGCGTGTCCTGATTTCCCACGGCACGCGAAGAATCCTGTTTCGGCGAGCTGTCGGGCGACGCGCGCGCTTTAACGAAGGAGGTCGAAAACGGTGGCGGTGGAGAAAAAGAGAAAACCTCGCTCGCCCCCTTTTATCGAGAAGATGCCCGGTTCTCGGCGCAAATTTGGTGTAAACGTCCTTTTAAGTGGGAAGGACGGGGAGGGGGGAGGAGGGCCGAGCCGGCCGGCTGCCGATTACAGCGCAATTTGCGAGATTAATAAATAACGCGCGAAGGCCCGCCTCGATCGGAGGTTCGCGAGCGGCGTAATAAAGCGCGCCTCGATGCACGACGAAACCGATGGTAACCGCGCCCTCGGACGCCCGGCACATCCCTAACTGTAAAGTTCGATTTTATAATTTGTTATATATTATGCGATCCGGTATGGAACGAGTGCCGTAAATCCCGTGTGCTGTTGACCCGACGCTCGCTGGACCGAGACCGGCGGCGGCGGCGGCGGCGGCGGCGGCGCGGACCTGCACACGGCAGATATCTGCCTCGGACGGTCAACCGGAAGTAATTAAGGTTTCGACAGAGAATCTCCATGCGGATAAACGCCACGGCCAAAAAAGAGCGTCGATGCTGAGAGAGACCTCGTCTCGGGAAATTACGTTATGCTCCTCCTTCTCTCCCTTCTCTGGCCGTTTCTCTCGCCCCGCGCGGCCTTAAATATCACCTCGATACGCGACCTACGTATCCTTGCCCAGGCGGAATACCCCGTTAACGATTTAATATACCGCTTCACATCCCCCGCGTATTATAACATTGCGAGAGACGATGTACCGGTGATGTACAGCAGCCTTCGCCCGCCGTAAAAACCCGCGACACTAGGCACCTCCCCGCGACCGGACGAGTCCCGCCTTTACCCCTGCCTTTACGATCGAGGAGCGTTCGGCGCGTAACGAGAACCACCGAGATTTTACGCGCGTCCACGCGCGATAAATATCCTCCCCGCTCTCGAGATCGTCGTCTAGGAATGCGCGCGTAGGTACACCTCGGTTGCCCCCGTGCGATGGAACCTCATAAGCCTCACCCCTCGCGATCAGCGTGATCGTGCCGGGCCGATCTTATCCGACGTATCGCGCATTAAACGTTTCCGCGAGCGTTCTCCCGCGTTCAACCGTTTAATGGACTTCCTATGTTCAATGGGCTGCAATATCCTGAGATATTCGAGCGATCGTTTCGTCAGAAGTGAGTGCGGGAGCGATCCCGCACCGAGAGAACAGAGCCCGCTTGTATTCCGTATTATGGCTAAACCACGCGTATGACTCACTTCCTCCACTTAGGCAGGTATTTATTTTTTGCTGTTTACTTTACTTCCTCCCTGCGCCGACCGCGTTACATATATGCTCGGGCGTTATTATTACTATTATTATTATTATTACAATTATGCCATTACAATAATAGGCGCTCTTTTAATACACGAGGTATGTGATGGCGCGAGGTTACCGCGATGGCGCATAACAAAACGAAGCACCTAACAGTAAATGTTATTACACTTTTTTTCCTTTTCTCTCTTTTTTCTTCTTCTTTAATCAGAGTACCGTTGACGCTTAAACTTCGCTTTTCTAACAGTACTCGGGCGTACTCGGTGGAACACGACTATTAAATGAGTGGGAAGACGAACAATTTAGCGAAAGATCGTACCAATGTCCATTTCACAATCGTTTATGGCGCTGCAATGGCATCGAGACACAATTACCCACGATTACGATGTAATCGTTAGCAGGGTGGAGAAGTAACCAAGTTACAGTTACTTTTTTTTTCTCGTAACTCTAACTCAGTTACATTATATTTTTGTTAAACCCCCACAGATCGCATTAGGCCTAGCGTTTGCGCATAAACGCCTTCGTCGACGCTTCACAATGCACATTTGATATTTTTACTTTCACCGCAAGGAAGTAACTGCAAAGTAACGATTCGTTACTTTTTGAGTAGCTGTAACTAGATACCTTTATATAAAGTAACTTTCCCAACCTTGTTCGTTAGCACTTGCGTTGACGTTAACGTCCTGACCGATTTTTCGCGCAGATTACGTGTCCCAGGATGTGCCCGCCGAATATATGGCGAGCCCGTCTGCGGCAGCGACGGTGTCATATACAGTTACAGTTACTTTTTTTCTGGTAACTCTAACTTAACTCGGTTACATTTTTTTTAACCCCCACAGATCGCACTAGGCCTTGCATTTGCGCATAAACGCCTTCGTCGACGCTTTACAATGCAGATTTGATATTTTTATTTTCATCGCAAGGAAGTAACTGCAAAGTAACGAACCGTTACAGCTACTTTTTTTCTGGTAACTCTAGCTTAACTCGGTTACATTTTTTTTAAACCCCCCCACAGATTGCATTAGGCCTAGCATTTGCGCATAAACGCCTTCATCGACGCTTTACAATGCAGATTTGATGTCCTTATTTTCATCGTAAGAAAATAATTGCAAAGTAACGATTCGTTACTTTTTGAGCAGCTGTAACTAGATACTTTAATATAAAGCAACTTTCCCAACCCCGATCGTTAGCAATGCGTTGACGTTAACATCCCGACCAATTTTTCCACGCAGATTACGCGTCCGGCGCGTGTCCCAGGATATGCCCGCCGAATGGCGAGCCCGTCTGCGGCAGCGACGGTGTCATATACGCGTCGCAGTGTGAAATGCGGAAGAAGATGTGCGGAAAGGGTAAGACGCTTTTAATTATAATAGTTATTACAGTAGCACACGCTCCGGTTCGCTCGCGGCGAGATTACAGTTTTTTCTCCCTCCCCGAGACGCACGTCGCTGGATGTATACGACGGTAACTCTGTATAATTTCGTTATCCCGTTTTGTATATTGACCGACCGTAAGAATAAGCGCGTAGACCCATTAGTAGCGGTTTATCGAGAAATATAACCGCGCGCGGCGGGCGCGCTTCAATTACAATCGCGGAAATAACGCGACCTTCATTCGCCGGACTCGATGCGATATTACCGTGCTTCACAGCGCGGACAGTCACGATAAAGAGATTCCTATCGTATTCTCTTTCTACCGCGGCGATAGCGGCCTATGGTAACGAGGATCCGTTCATTCGTATAATAGATGACCGCGATAAATTATACGCGCGGCTGCAAAACGAATCGCGATTTCCTAGAGCGTCGAAAGCGACTACTTAGGCGGCTAGAGTATCGGCCGATTCGTCGTTGCTCGTTTCGCTTGATGACCGCGCGAAATCTATCCACGCATCTCAAATTATTTGGCCGTCGTACGGTCGTTTAGGCGTTACCGTGGCCACGGAGAAGACGGCTTGCCTGAGGTCATCCGGTAGCAAGTGCGAGCATCGCTGCCCGGGCGATCAAGATCCGGTATGTGGCACCGATGGGCGTACCTACCTGAACAAGTGCATGCTCAGGGTGGAGATCTGCCGGGTCGGAATCGAGCTGTCTCATCTCGGGCCCTGCAACAATATTTCGGCCCACAGGGAGAACTGTCCGGTCTCGTGCGATTACGCGCCGCTCGACGGACCGGTTTGCGGAAGCGACGGTAACGTCTACAAGTCCACGTGTCAGATGAAGCTGCTCACTTGCGGGTACGTGCAAGGCCGGCCCCACGGCCAATTCTCCAAATTACCGAATCCCACCGTCTAGCATTTGTCCCCGCCGCGACCTCTCTTTTTCGCGCGATAACGTTACGTCCGTTATAACATCTGCTCGGGATTACGTTTATGTCTACATCTCTCACTTATTATTTCTCCTATTTTCCGCATGAAAAAAATTACTGGCTTTATAAATACTGTAATTCGCTGTAGACGCGGTCGCGTCTCTCTCCTCGTAAAATGTAAAACGCGTATTATTCTGTGGGAAGGAGAGTTTATTCTCTAAGTCTAACATAAAACTAGCCTGGCCGCAAAGCGATTTTGACTTTTTCCGGTTCGCAGCCAAGGCGTCGTGCGTACGAATAAGAAGCACTGCCAGACCACAAGACACTGTCGTGAATCGTGTTGGCGTGGTGCTAAGCCTGCCTGCGGTAGCGACGGCATTTTGTACTCGAACACCTGCAAAATGCGGGCGAAGAATTGCGGGTAAGCGGCAGATTCTCAACCAATTCAACGTACGACTGGAACCGTCCACCCAGGATCTTGGAATAAAACCCTCGGCAGCTCTCGGTCCCGTCCTCTCATTGTCAACGTCGCTCCCTGCGCGCACTTAATCATTCAGCAATTGTTCCCCCGTACACTTGGTTACAAACCCTCGACTAATTTCAACAACACCCATTCTTCGCGCGCCTCTTTTCACCGGGAGTTTTCTCTAATAATATTACATCTCGGCCGATCTCTTTCGCAAGATCGTGTCTCGAGCTTACGCAATTTTCAGTTTTTGTGCTTACGAGTGTTTAAGCACGAAAGCCAAAAATTGCGTAAAACCGAGGTACGATCTCGAAAGAGAATAGTCGAGTTGTTAGAGCGCGAAGCGAACTGCGCGATCTAATATCCCTCGATATCTGAATTTGAACAACTGATCGATGAGTCTCGTAATCCTATCTAGCTGCGATTTTAGCATGCGAATCTCGTTGCGGTTTTATTCGACGCCAAGATTTCATTAAGCCCCGACGATACTTATCGGACTGTGCCTTTTAGCAAGCACGTCTTCGAAGTGCCAATGTCGTTCTGCGTATCTCGAGAACGGACATCCGGAAGCAACGCGTGCCCCTTGGAGTGCAAAAACGAGCCCGAGGTATCGGTTTGCGGATCGGACGGAAATGTATACAGGAACGAGTGCGAGATGCAAATGCTAAACTGCGGGTGCGTATCTATCGCCTACTATAGGAAATTATAATTATACAGGGTGTCCCAGGAGGAAAGGGCAATATTCTGGGAGGTGATAATATCGGTCAGTTTAAGCAAAAATGTTCATACGAACATACGTCCCATTCCCCACTGTTTCCGAGATAGAGCTATGTGAATGTACAGTTGCAAAACCGCTGACAAGAAAGAAATACTACGTACTATCTTTAATATTTATTGTTCAAGTTCACTCTATTTACAGATCGTAATAAATTTTCCAAAATTCCACCGTTAACAACAATGCATTTTTCAACTCTTGTGTGAACATGGCGTGTTGCTCGTTCGACATTTGTGAATATGCGAGGCATTTTGAACATTTCTACAATGTTATCGGCACAACAGTCAACAGTCGCATAAGAGTAAATTCCCGCAGACGTTTATGAGGTTGGATGAAGGGTCAAGTGTACAGAAAACAAGTAAATACACGAGACACTCAAGTAGCTCTATCTCGGAAATGGTGGGGAATGGGACGTATTTTGCTTAAAATAACCGGTACTATCACCTCCCAGAATATTGACCTTTCCTCCTGGAACACCCTGTATATCCTTTCATTAAATCGACGCTGTAGGAAACAAGTAATCGTGCAACTTATCAAGGCTCCTTCTTAAAAAAAAAAAGAAATTTTCAAGTCGCTTACTTTCTTGTTACAAATAACTGATCGTCAAACGCGAGTCTTTAGCCAAGTGTTAATCAACAGGCATGCGAGAAGAAAGGTAACGGTAGTAGACTTTGAGAAGTGTCGGTCCCGGCTAACGAAATGCATGAAGCAACAGCAGAGGTGCGGAAGCGAAGTGGATCCGGTTTGCGGTAGCGACGCGAATACCTATCCAAATCAGTGCCATTTGAATGTAGCGGTTTGCTTGTAAGTTGTATTTATTTCAAAGGAACACAGTGACGAATTTATGTACCCTCCGGGTCAGACGTAAAAGCGGCAAACGTTCGCTTTATCGTCAACTCCTCGGACACTAATCTTCCCCGACACTTGATGCATTTTAGAAAGGGCATCCAATCGGCTCATGTTGGCGAGTGCACGACCTTGAAAGAGATCGAACACTGCCCCGAAGACTGCGCCGAAGTACCCGAGGAACCAGTTTGTGGAAGCGACGGCAACGTTTATCGGTGATTAAGAGCGTTATTCGGATTCCAGAACGTCCGCTGCCGAAGATTTTAAGGGCGCCTGCATCTCAAACGGATCGTTCGATAGACCGACCTGCTTGAGGAGGCCTCGAGCCGTTTTCAGAACTTATCCCGATACCCGCTTCTGATTGTGACTCGAGCGGGCTAAATTGAAAACGTTTATATCAATAAAAATTTCCGAGAATCCGCTGGTTTATAAATGGACATCCGTTCGTTCGCACTTGGTCGAGTATCGTTGAAATCCGCGATAAAGTTACTGCCGACCGTATTGGGATGCGACGACAGGCACTCACGGGTTGAAATCAAACCGGGTTTGCACTGTAATATTTTAACTAATCAGAATTCTTCAATGTCGCCAGCGGTAATTAACAACGCCCGTGTTTTCTTGACCATACCTGGCATCTTTAACAATACAGAAAATTTATTGCGAAAAATATTACCGCAGCCAGAGTCGCCCGCCTAGAGTGTAGGGAGGTCCAGGTTCAAATCCTAGCCGAAGTAATATTTTTCACAATAAATATCACTGACGTTGTAATATTTACTTTGAGATTAAGGACGATTGAGTCGAACTAAACGCAACGTGTACCTAAAAACAGTAGTTAAACGATTTTAATGGCGGCCACCGATCGTTTCTTCACTGGGAAACCGGTGTTTGCGGATGTGTCATGTGTGCACTCGTTTTAGGTCCCTCTGCCATCTGCAACGCGAGACTTGCGGCCAGAGGGTGGTTCAAGTTCCGGCGCAACACTGTCGCACCACCGCGCTTTGCAACCAGATTTGCAGCGGGGAACGTCAGTTTGTTTGCGGCTCCGATAACAAGCTTTATCGTAACGAATGTGAGATGAAGAGGGACAATTGCGGGTAAGCCACAAAACGTCATGTTTGCATGCTTTACTGAAGCGTAGCGCTTTTGTGCGACAAGTGCGCACTTTAGTGGGCACTTTTAATCAATTCATCCCGGACTAATTCTCAAAGGAGGAGTGCATAATTGCACGGGAGAACCGGCTCTTATTAAGCTTTCTCTTCTCTCCGCAGCGACTTTTATCAGATAATACGTGACAGCGAGTAAATTAAATCGTCGCTAATTGCGGTACTAGAAAGAAAGGGCAACAAGTAAAAATATTGTAATATTTCAACAAAGTTATTTAAAGCTGTCATCTTATTCTACAAAATATATTCTATTAAAATTTCTGCCGTTAAGAGGATCCTTCAGCCATCTTTTTTACCGTCACGTCAAATATAGTTTTTGCGCTTGCAATTCTTTTTATTAGCTTTTATGCACAAAATAGTATCAGGATAAATTGCTGACCGCATAGCAGAACATTTTCATACTTAAAACACTCGGTTCGGAGGTCTAATAAAAAAGATATTGGTGTTTGAAAGTTTTAATTCGTAGTTCTAACTAAATTTGAAATTGGCTTTATAAAATTGCAAACTTCTTCCACACGATTAAAGTACGCATAAAGACAAAACCAGGGACAGTCGTACGTGATTGAGGTTAGCTAACCTCAATCATTTATAAAGTAATATTTTTAATTTCTCTTCTTTTTTTTGTATAAAGTTAGAACTACGAATTGAAACTTTCAAATACCAATATCTTTTTTATTAGACTTAACTGAACCGAGTGTTTTAAGTATGAAAATGTTCTGCTATGCGGCCCGCAACTTATCCTGGTATTACTTTGTGCATAAAAGCTAATAGAAAGAATTACACGCGCAAAAACTATATTTGACCGTGTCGGTAAAAAAGATGGCTGAAGGATCCCCTCAACTGTAGACGAAGTTAAGATAAAATGAACGCTTTAAATCGATATCATGTTTAAAGAGAATTTATACAATCGAGCTTTCCACTTCTCAAGGAAAGTAATTAAATTTACCTCGGAATAATTTGATCACGTTATTTCAATTTCAAGTGTATAATCTCCATTCTGGTTTAATAGAAAAAAAACTGCCCCCGGAATAATTTCATTATCTCGTTGGAAGTAAGAAAGGCTCTAATTATCCGAATTCAATCATTCTATTTATTCAGAAGCGACTAGAGAGCGGCGGGTTTCGTGCCGCGCATATAATTCTGTTGACCGCGATCGTGCCTCTTCCCGATATAATACTTTCCATAGACTTTCATTACGCCCGATCGCGCCATTGAAATACATCCGAGAAGATTGCCTAAGAAACTGGTCCTCGAGAAACGGTTAATCCGCGCTGGCGCATCGCGTGCGTGTCCGATGAAAGTCCGTGAGTGATTCAGCCCGAGAGCCGTTCCATTACATCTTCTTTATGGAAATAATAAACCACTTCTATCGCGCCGCATACCAGCAGGATGTTTTTGAACCTGCTGCTCAAATACGCGAGAGGAAAGTATCCTACTTCGGGAAGGTGAATTGTACACAATCGCGCGCAATCTCGAAAGTAGAAATTGCCGATGCCTCCGCGCATCGCCCCATTTTCCCAAAGGAGTCATTTAGGAATCATTTTCTATTTTCGATCGCTTTCTAACGTGCCCAATTCTAACGTTCGCCCGATATATTCGTGCCGGCTAAACCCGAATGCTAAAAAAATTACCCGCCAGGATGTGCCGGCTGTATTGCGTGTTACATAAATACTAAATCCGTTATCCAGGTTTTTTCGACGACACAATTACTCCCTAATTCCACCGAAGCAAGATAATTCTTTTTTACATCGAGGGGGGATTGTATCGAGTGCCAGTAAGCATCGAAAATATTTTAAATCGGTTCGTCATTTTAAGAACGTGCGAATTTACCGAAGACAATGTTCCACCTGACAACCTACACGACCGAAAGTAACGGCGCGCAGGACGGGTTGGAAAACAGTACAGGAGAGGCTTCTCACATGAGATAGCAGGGTTCTTTGCTAAATTAATAGACATCATTTATTCGTTTCACCGTGAATTTATTTTGGAGTGAAATCTGTTTAGTGGAAAATTCATCGTTAGATCGTGTAATCGTTGTGAAGATTTGTGATTAAATTTTGACGTTAGCAACCCACCATCTCATATTAAAAGTCTCATAATAGAGGATCTTCCTCTATATGAATTCACACATTGTACGTATAAAATCATTGGGCTGCCTACAGCCTGCTATTACTGTAAAATAATTCTCTTCGCTTTAATGCGACATCGCGGCATTTGAAACGGTAGAAAAAAAGAAACGCCTTGGTTCATTTCAGGAAGCACGTATACGTGGTACCCATGAAGAGGTGTGTCCAGGGTTTCCTGTTTCGCGGCTGCCAGAAGATCTGTCCGCCTTATTACGACCCGGTTTGCGGCACCGACGGCATGACGTACAGCAACGAGTGCTTCCTGGAGATCGAGAACTGCCGTAGCAGGAGTCTCGTCACGAAAAAGTACCACGGAGTGTGCGGACAGCCGACGGAGGAGCCGAAAAATTATCTCTATTAAGCACGGCCGAGCCGGCACCGGTGATACGAGAAGCAGAGAGAGAGAGAGAGAGAGAGAGAGAGAGAGTGCGTGCGTGCGTGAGAGGGAAAAGAAGTAAATCGACGAGATGATTTGGCTCGTATCTCCCAGAGAGGATTTCAGAAGCGACAATGATACCGTACATTGATTCGTCGTGTGTCACGAGTCCTGTAGTGTTTTAAGTTCGCTCGGCTCGCATTAACCAGCTGCAGATTCGCTGCAGAGTAGTACACGGGTTGTACGAGCGTGACACGTTCGCAGCTCTAGACGGACGAGCGCGATAGCGCGTGATAGAGAATCGTTCACGTGGATTTCGGATGCTCGATCGCCTCCCCCCCCCCTCCTCTGCCCCTCGACGATCCTCTTGACTTTCTACAGGGAGGAGGAGGAAACGAGCATCTTGCCAGTTGCAGTCCGGATTGTTATCGTATATTGTTACTGCTATTTCTACGATAATAGTACCGCGATTGCCGATCCCTTCTCGGACAGCCGCGCGTGTCCGCGAATTCTCCGCCTTCCGCGCGCAGCGAAATTACGATTCGCAAAGAAGAAGAAAAAACTACCGCTTTTTGCGCGCATGGCGGGTGACAAACGATATCGTCCAGATTATTTTAAGGAACTGCCTTTCATTCCTTTTGTTTTTCTTTTTTTTTTCTTTTATAATCGGGAAAGGGTCGCCAGTCGCGCATCGATATTAGTCCTTTCTTCGCACTTGACGGTATAGACTAATTATTATTTATTTTATAGCCTTAATATCATTGCATATACGACGCGATTCCATCTTTCTCTTTTCGCGGCACGCCCGTCGCTCCAATCGATGGCTATTGACGCGGCGTCGTCGGAGTATTCTTATTTTAGGGGAACATATTGTGCTATTACATCTCCCTCCCGACATGTGTGATGTGTGTTCGTTTATTATTAATATAATTACTACCACTGCAATCTTAATTTATTATCGAGTATGCGAGGATCCTTCCTTTGTATCGACACTAACACTGTATACGCTTCCAATGTCAATAATAAATCATATATGTATATTTTAAGATATAAAAGCTGCACAAATTATGCGCGTAATACTTGATAATCATATCGGAAATGACACTGCGCTGCTTATCGATCGCTAATCTCTACGAAGATCCAGGCATCTAACATTCGGACCGTAATTGCGACACTATTAATAGTGTACATGTATCAAGGATTAATACATATACCGATATAATTTGGCTGAGTTTAATTTCCGATGCGAGAGAGAGCTTCGCGCTGAGCGGCGTCGCATTTCGCTTATCGGCGAATAACTTGAGGACTCGCGCTCAACTCCCTTTCAACTCCAATTAATTTAATCGACGATCCATTAACGCGGATAAAATTATTTTGTTCGACACGTGAAAAGAAAGAAATTGCCCAGACAGCACAGCCCCAGCGCATTGGCTAAATATTGGTCCAACGTTGGTTATATTAGAAATGGCCAATATGTTCCAACGCAAAGCCAATATTGGCCATGGAATAAATGTAAATAGTGCACGATAATAATTATATAATATTTTTATATGGAAAGTGCACCGGCCAATGTTTAACAATGCAACAAGAGTATTGGTCTAATATTGATGCAATTGCTAAGTAAACATATTGGCTAAATAAGAGAAGGCGTTCATCTTACAATATTGGGCCAATATTGGAAACACTAGACTTACATTATTTCCCAACATTGCGCCAATACGCGTTGCGGGTGTTTGGTCAATTTCACAAATTTTCGAATTCTAGCTCAAAGGGCGTTTATTTGCGGACCTGTGTTCATAGGGAAAAAAATCTTACTTTGACCTCCAGAATACACCCTGTATATTGTGCTACTAATTGTAAGGAGAGAATCCAAGAATTCTCCTTGAATTATGGAACGCATTCCTTTCTTCCATCCCGTTTCTACTCGAGAATATTCTTAAAGAATTCAACAAGAATTCGCCTTCGTCACGTCTGAGCTCGTTTCCAGAAACCAAGTAAATTCTTGTATACCCTTCTTGTGCTCTGTAACATTTCACACCGGAGGAGAAATCTTCTGGAAATCATTTCGAATGGTAATCCCTGAAAAAGTTGAAAGGGTGAATACTTTTGGAGTTCACACCCAGGCAGAACAAGTTAATCGCAAAAACGTCAATGTGACGTAAAAATAATGAATTCTACGTCATAACATGATCGACGTCGAGATTTACTTTGCAATGACTGATTTATGACACGCTGTTTCATGATATTCGTGACGTGTATAATAATATATTATTATAGATTGCGTGATCAGTCATGTTTATCTTATGTTACTTCAATTTATTTTTAATATATAATATTTAATTAACTTTGCTTTGTAAAGCAACATCATTTTTACAACATTTTCATGTCTTAATGATGACAAATGGGTGCCCTCGGTGGGCTATCTTGGCGTCGCCATGATGCGTAAAAAATGATGAAAAAATGACGTCATCTTGACGTTTTCGTGACTGATATGTTCTACCTGAGTAGTGACCACCTGTGGCTGGGTGGCGAGTCCGGGCGGCGAATTGTACAGCGAGAAATGTTGCGTCTTAAAGTAATGGTCGATTAAGTTAACTGGGAATCGGATTTTCGTTCGAATCACCGCAAACACACGAGATCTGAATCTACTTACCAGCTGCTACGCGTCGGCGCCAATTGACAGGTGAATGCCGTTGGATCCCCGTCGGCGATTCACTTTTCCTCGAAGGCGCCTGCTCCCGCGGAGTGGCGCGGAAATACGATCGGCGGGCGCGACGATCTCCCGGCACTGAGGATCCGGCGATCACGCACCCGGCGCGCATTCGAGTCGCCCGGGACGTTTCGAGGCGCGAGGAAAAGGTGAGGAACAGCGGAGCGGCTTTCACGCCGACTTGGCGCCAACCGACGCGGCGCGCAACAATATGGCCGATCGCTCGGCGGATATCACATCGACGCGTCTCGCCGCTGCGGCAAAAGTGTAAAAGCGTTTGTATTTACCGTACGTTTACGACCCGCCGCGTCCTGCCGTCAATCATAAACGAAGCGCTTTGTGTTCCGACACCGGGCGCCGCGCACGTCCGCTTGATTTACCTAACGAGACACGGCGGGGGTTGCCGGCATACCACACGTTTCCGCTCGAAGGAACTGCCAGCCTCCAGTAGCGTACAGAGGTCTGTGGTACCAGCGCGGCTCGGCGCGACACGTGCGGCCATCTGTCGGCGCGGCGGCAGCGGGCGCGCGCGAGATGGCGCCGCTCGGCGGCGCCGCTCGGCGGCGCGCCGCGTACCGTATTGACAGGTGCCTCGGCAGCATGGCGACCAGTGTTTACGACAACTGATCGCGGTCGATCGAAGCCCGCGCCGCCGTTGTCCCGGTCGAGTCAACGCGCGGCTGTTTACGGTGTCGGCGGTGACCGCGTTTCTCCCGGCGCGAGCGACGCGCGCCCCGAATCGCGCTACACGTTGACGCGCGCGACGCACGAGAAACGGAGTCCTTCCGCGAAACGGCGCACGCAACTCGTGGCGCGTGCTGGACGGCGAGGTTGCCTCCTCGTTTGGGGATTCGCGTCAGGTGGTGGGACCCTCGCCTCGCTCGACTGCCCTCGTCGCACGCAGACTCCTCCAACACCGACGTCCTCGTTATCGTGAGTACCAAATTGAGTTGGTTAATCGCGACTCGAGGCGGGACGTGGCTGTCGGCGTCCCGGCGCGTCCCGGGATGCCGCCAATTTGACAGCGGCGAGCAGAGGCCATCTTTGAGGTCGCGTGTCCGTCCTTCTCCGGTGTCGTTCGATGCTACCGGCGAGGGAGGATCGCGGATTACGCGAGTCGCGGTTACGTCAAGCCGGCCCGAACGCCGTGGGACGACGGCCCGAGTAAACCGGCCCGCGCGCGCGCGGGCCCACCTGCGCCGGGCGCGTTACGCTCGCGCCCGCGCCTCAACCCCGCGGTCCCTCGCGAATTCTCGCGATCCTCGCGGTCCGAAGGCCGCGCCGGGCCTGTCTCTCGCAATTCGCCAAGTCAAGTCGACGCGAACGAGGCCCGCGACTCCGTCGTCCCACCATTTCTCTTCGCGCCGACAGAACGCTCGCCGGCGAGTAAAGCTTCGTCCGCAGCGCGCGTCTAGGAACGCTGTATCGTTTTTTTTTATAAACGAGCCGAAACGCTTGAAAAATCTGTCGGCAGTGTACGATTGTACTACGCGCGATTGATCAAGTCGCGCGGACCTTAGAAACTGCAATGTGAAATGTTTCCGGAGAGAACATTGTGGATCGGGCTTAAGCGAGCACGTGACAAATTTCGAGGGAAAATTCCTCTCGACGCGCGCGCGATTTCTCGCCGCTTTGTGAAGCAGAATCATTTTTTTTTCGCGAGGCCGATGTCTGCCTCTCGCGGAACGATTTTCAGCGACACTCGCGCGTTTGCGTCCCTACGAGAACTTCGTCCAGACCTAGTTTTTCTCGGATTGCGCAACATTCTTCTGCATCGGTTTAATGCCATTTCGTGCTTCCACAGTCGGTCGCGCGCTATTTCTACGTTGAACGTAACTTTCGCCACGACGATCGTCTAATTTTCGACTCGTAAATTAGACCTTTTTTTAAAAAAAGGGTAAAAAAGACGCCGAGTATAAGCGCCACCCAATCGAGACTTATATAATCTAATTGTTTGGATATATTTTGTTTAAAAAAAAACACATCTTTATTGCGCCGAGGGAAAATTGAAGTTTTGGTTATTTTATTACTGGCGGGTAAAATTATTAAGTTTGAAACGACATCAAGCCGCGCCAACTAAAGTGGATATTTATACAAACTAGATACTTTATTGCCTTTGATATTAAAATGTCTATATCCGTGTTCCCGTTTTTTCGCTATAAGCTTAGCGCTGCGCCGAATCGACCGCGATATTCTCAGAAATTTATAGAAAATCAAACACGGAACGGAAGTCACCTGCCGATACCGCCGCGTCATGTTATCTTATCATTATCTTGGTTGACAATAATAGGAAGAGTCTCGGTCACGCGACCACGCGTGTACGATTGCGCACTCCCGTTCGGCATAGTTTCCTCTCGTCCGTGGAAGAACGGTTGCTCCTGCGTGCACGTAATTAAATTTATCGATCGCCGCTGGAGACGTCGCGGCGGCATTCGAGAATGCGGGAACGCTCGCGGATCGCTCTCACGTTTGTCACGCGCCCTTTCCCCTTTTATTTCGCATTTCCGTCAAGCGTGCCGGCGAAAGAATGCAGTTCCGCCGTTGAATTGAAATATCCGTCATAAATAATTACACAGGATCGCGCGTCGCCTCGGTCCGACCGCGTGTTCCTTCCGACGCGGTGTTCTCCTCTTTTTCGAAATCGAGGAGACCCCGCCTCTAATAGCGATCGGCAATTAACAATCTGTTTGCAAGGCTCCTTCACACCAACGCGAACGAAATTAAATTAAAACGTTAAGCAGGTATCGCGGTGATCGTATCTCAATTTTTTGTAGCAGAGAAAAGTCCCCTATTATGAGATAAGCCGCATCTACACTATATAACAAAACATGCTATATAGCAAAGTTATACAACTTGTTACAAAAAGAAAAGAAAAAAGGTTATATAACATGATGTTGTATAACATTTTTCGTGTTATATAGCAGGTTGTATGTTATCCATTAGTTGTCGGTAAAGATCAAAGGAAGTTATAAAACTTTATGTTTATGAGGTATTCAAAATCAAAACTTGTCATCCTTGCAAAGTTTTTGAAACTACCGTCACACCGAATTTCTCAAGATCTGCTATAAGGGTTGTACCACTATATTTTTTTCGAGCTTCTAATGATGGTCGCACCCAGAATCGCCGTTCAGTTCTAATATGTTGTCTAGTCAAAATTACACAAGCTGCTGCTGCGAGAATTGCATCCTCTACGTTTGACGCCATTATGAATACTGAGATGAAAAATGTTTAACAACTTGTACATAAAATTATTGTTACAAAAATAGTGTCCAATAACAAGTTATATGAAGTCATATAACAAGTTATACAACAATGTTAAAAACAAAACAAAAACATATAGCATGTTTTGTTATATAGTGTAGACCCGGCTATAGGCTTCTAACTTAATCTAACGATGCTCCAACCGCTTTAACCCGCCCAAATAATAGTTTGCGTCTTGCTCTGCGAAATAGGCGTCTATGGACGCTGCGACCTCCTCGTTCGATGAAAATTTCTGTCCTCCGAACCAAACTTCGAGTTTAGGAAACGGAAAAAAAGTCACTGGGGGCTAGATCTGGTGAATACGGGGAGGTGGTCGATCAGTTCGAACTGCAATTCGTGAATTTTGGCCCGATATTCGATTTTTTCCGACAATGCTAACATCCACTGATACAAACGACCGTCGTACAACAACCGAGGGTCCGAATTGGCTGAAATTTCCAGAGGTATCCTTCGAAGCATGCACAGTCGCGGTACTGAAGTCGCGACGACAAGTAATGCCACCTTCGTGTTGAGGCTCGAAACTTTTCAACTCACCCTCGTATGATGGAACCAAGGGTGCGTTCCGTTTCACGCATGTGATGCATCATTGATCCTTGTTATTCACCAAATGTTAAAGAAGGAAGTGCCGTGCGTGAAACGGAACGCACCCCAACAGAATAAAATGCCTAGTGATTTAGCAGAAACTCCGCCATTTCATATTAAAAGTCTTGTATAATAGGAGACTCCTCGAAGAATACGACACAGATGTACGAAATGAAACTATTATCCTTTTTTTCCGCTCGTTGATTCTCTCGTTAAAGTTGAACGCCGACGTTAGTCCGATTGCATTGGAACTGTATCTAACGCATTTGTATTAATGATGCAATCTTCTTTTAAATATAAAAAGAAAAATTGACTAGAAACCAGGAGTAGCACGCGCCCGGCGCATGCACCGTCGCATTTTAATACGCTCGGAATGAAGCCTGGCTGAAAACAATTAAATGCAAACATCGGTCCGGTATCTTACTCGGACAAGTACCTTGCTCCGTCCCTCGCATGAATTTCCAAGCGAATTGACCTACAGATTGGGCTTCTGCCCCATGATTGTTACATCGTCGCCGTCGCGCCGGCACTTGCACGGCTTTTATCACTTTTACGCATAGCCAGAATATAAAGCGCCTATAAAAGTCTCGGACGCTTTGTATCGGCCACGTCATACCGCGGCGTGATTAATTTACGTTATTTATCGTGAAATGCAATTCTCTCAAGTCCAAGATAGCGGACGAAGATTACATCGTAAAAGTACTCCTCGATATCTGCGATATCAGCGTTCGTATCGCGTTAATTGTGATATCTGATCACGAGGTTCATTCGCGATCGAGAGTTTATTTTACGCAACAATATCTCGCAAACTATAGCTCGTGTTGCATCGTTGCAGAGTCAGGTCCTATGCCACGCTTTAATAGATGATCACGTAATCCCCGCGAGTCGGCCGGGGCTCTCGTCTCGTTCGATTCTCACACAGACGCGACATTCCAGTTGGATGCAAATTATTGGATCGGATCGGATCGAATCGGACGGTACACGTGATTATATAATACGCGCGGTAACTCAACTCGCACGTTTGCGTCGAAGGAGCTCTCATCGGCTCTCAACAATTTGCAAGCCAAGTGTTTTCGCGATTCACCGATCCTCGTGTTCGTCCGTCGTCAATTTATTTATAAACTGTCGACGTCATACCGTATTACAAGACGTCGGACAAGATGGGGGCTTAAAGGCAGAAAATCATTTAGATCTTGTTCTGGTTGTCCGCGCGAAGGCCGCCAATCGCCGCGAATATCCGCGCCGCGCGGCTGCCGTTGTTAAGATTAATTATATGCCGCAACAGCTTGAAATGATCTATTGTGTCTTAACGGCCGTGTCACACGCTCCAACCTTGAGTGTAAGTCGAGGGAATTGACCTCGAACCGGATCTCGAATCCTTTTTCTTCGGGGAAGGGTAATGTGGAATTATAAAAGGGTGGTAGGTCTTGCATGTCACGCTAAAAGTCCCATGCTCCGGATTTAAACCAACTGCGACTGTCCGCCGAACATCTTGTTTCAACGCTCGTACGATTTAACACCAATCCCTTTCAAGTATACGTGCCTTGAAGCCCGTATCAGACTACGGATTGAGATTAGATTGAAAATTGACCAATCAGAGTTTACCAAGTTACTTTTACTCTAATTGGTCAAATTCCAATCTAATCTCAATCTCAATTCGTAGTCTGATATGGGCTTAAAGACCGAATCGGATTGGCGATTGGCGACTCGGATTGGATTGGGATTGGCGATCGACGATTGTCCTCTAGCCAATGAGAGTCAATTAGATCTCTGGCTGCTTTGCTCTCATTGGCCAGAAGACAATCGCCGATCGGCAGTCCAATCCGCGTCGACAATTGCTAGTCTGATTCGGCCTTAACGCAACGTTGCTACAATATCGCGTACGTGCTTTCATATTTCCCATCGTCAACTAAAGTAAAACGTGTTTAACAGCATAAGTAACGGTTGTTTTTATTATTCTTACATAAACACACACATACATATGTATGTGTGTGTAAATTTTAATAGTTAATCGAAGCTAACTCGATCGTTAATCATAACTCTCTCACACTTTTAACGCGGTCGACGCGGATAGCGAAAGTTTACCGTCGCGTAAGAGGTTGGCGATTCTACCATCGATCATCCTGAAGTTCAGACCCGTTCCAAACTTATCGGCCACTTTCATGCTCGATTCATCGTAATTAGCCGGAACATCTGAAATCGAAGCCTCGGCGACGTCCGCCACTCCGCCCCGCTGTTTATTTTCGTCGCCGGAATTCTTGCGGTCCTTTCCAGTCTTCGTCTCGATTCTCAGCCCTACGAGCCTAACCGCGTCATCCCTTTTCCCGTTCGCGCTTCTCGCGCTTGGCTCGAGATAAAATTCACTCCTCGGTAGTTTCACGCAGTCCTTGCCGCGCAGCTTCTGCATCAAACTCGTCGTCGATCCGCCAGTTAATCTCTTGCAGAGCCGGATATAATTTTTCCTCCCTTTCGAGCGATTATCGACGATCCCGGCATCGATCCTGTCCACATTCTCGTCCGTGTCCTTCGACGTGACACCGACGTCCAATCCGAGCTGCATGCTCGTTTTGGCGAACTTCTCTCTTAATATATCCTTAATATCCGGGATGTATGTTAGGTGAACAGTCGCGTTCTTCCGGGTTCCCTCCGTCGCCGCGGCTCTCCTTGTCTCCCTCGCGCTGTCAATCCACTCCTCATCCGACGAGAATTCCTTAGAAGCCTCATTCTCGCTCGATAGCGCGCCCTGCGACCATTTCGCTTGATTCGCGAGCTGAACGTTCGCGGAGATGCCTCCACGAACGGGGCTTAACGGAAGATTATTCCCGCGCGATTCGACTTTAGCTTGAAAACCTACGTTCAGTTTCGATGGGTCTCTTACGGTGACTACAGGCTTCGATACTGCTGGCGGGTCGAGAAACTCAAATTCGATTTCCCCGTTATCGCCGTGAATTTCTTTCGGTATGTCAATGATGTCAATGAGATTGTTCAATTGCTCGGCTACCCTTCCAAGATCATGTGCGTACTGAGAAAAAGACAGTGAAACTTAATGCGACCTGTTACATAGAACAGTATAATTTGGCGAAAACGAAGAAGAAACTCACCAGCAATGGCACTAGATAGAGAAAATACGTGACGGGAAGAGCGAGACTAAGAGCGCCCATCTCGATTCGATCAAGCGACCGATTCGTTCGTCAGAACAACTTATCCTTTACTCCGATTTCTTTATGTACCCCGAGTAACGATTTATGCTCTTCGCAGCCGTAGTCAGGCTTTTCTATCAGTTTTTATTTTAATGGCGCGTCGCGTGTAATTTCGTCCATTTACGACGCATTGTCTGCACAAATATCATCTTTGCCATATGACTTCGCTGCGGTTAGTAACTGCCGCTTGGGGGTCGTTCCGCAATTTGAAATTGTTCTCCGATCGTAATTGCTTATTTTAAATAAATTCTTTTTTACGATTATTTCTACAATTCCGCATTTAATGAGGAAATAACTTGGATCTCTTCTACGGGAGTTTTAATGGCATTAGGAATTCATTTTTCCCCGTTAGACTCGGTTGTTAATTTCTCGTGCTAATTATCCATGTGATTGCGCAGCATCGGAAACGTCTTCGCGTCTCTCAACGTGGCCCGCGCGAAATAATTCACCGACCAATATTACCTTCCGCCGGGATTCATCGATTCAGCCGGATTTTCAGCTATCGGCGAGTTAATGGTGCGTGGCTTGAAAATTTATAGTGCGTATAATCGAAACTTCGTGTTCGACTCTCTCATCTCCTTGCCTTGATGTACACTTACATCCTGTTTCGATACAGCCCGTTCGACACACCACTACAAGAGAACACGTATTACGTCGTATCTCAGGTATGTTTATACATGTAGATCGAATTAGTTGAACATTATCGTCGTTATTTATAATATAATGTTATTACCGTTCGGTAAATATAACTTTCTTGTGCCTATAATAATTTTTACCCCTTTAACACTCTCTTCTTTTACTTCATTTTATTATCGTAAATACAACGATGAAAATATCCTGAATAAATGAAAACCTATTTTAATCCTGGATCGAGATATGAAAATAAGTTTCTGTACAAGGTAGAAATTCGCAATTCTTAATTTCCTTATCGCAATTCTCTGCATAATTCTTTCAATAATCTTTCGAGTAATACAGAGTAATAATTAACAAATTATAATTGCGGAATCTTCATTAAATTTGCCAATATCAATTCATCATTACATTAAGTTTCGCCGATAAAACGAAGAGGAAAATTGTAATATTGTTTTAATTATGGAAATTAATTTAAACTGCAAAAACTTAAGAGCTGCATATTCTGTGCATCTGTCGTATTCTACACCGTTCCGCGCGCCGCAACGCTAATTATTCCACGATTGTATTATCGATGGTGTTTAAAAATATTATTTTTTTATCGACATAGAACGAGCGAGTTGCGCGCGATTGCGAACGTGGCAGTGCGCCCACGCACGATGCCGTTTATGGTGGTTCTCGTTGGTATTTCCGGTCACGCGATTGTCCGGTCCTTAATTAATCGTCGCCGCGATCATCGACCGATCGCTGGCATAGAAAGCTTGTCGCGCATAAAATTCCCTTTTTATTTGTGTATGCAAACGCGTCTGTTATTTCGCCCCGAGGCGCAGTGTACAGAAACCGGAAGTCACGGTCGCACATCACCATTGTCATGGTCCACTGTTTGCCCCTTGCGATAGGTCGTAATCTTATCTTCACGTTCTTCACACCTACCTCCGTGAATATGATAAGAAAATCCATCCGTCTTAAGAGCTCTTCCCGCTTTTACCGTTTTGAATTCATTAATTGCCGCGTTCCGCTAATTAACAGGTACCGTAAATAATTAAGCGTAGGTAAGTCTACCGGGAATTGCACAGGAGAGGTTCAATCAACTTTGAAACTCTTTCGGACAAAGATCAACGAAATGCATCGAATCAATCTTCCTTTTTGGGTGAAATTGTTATGTTTCGTCTTAGCTCAGGCGTGATAATTCTTTGGAAACTGTAAATACACTGAGACAAATTTCCATCGGATAAACCAGTTAAATATAGTATCACCGGTGGTTAATTTTTGCGGTTAAATTATTGATATATCCGTTTCTTATTATAATTGGATTATCCGCTTGTACTTAATCGAACATTTTTCTCAGTGCGGGCATCTCTTGCGCCATATATAGTTGCATTACGATTGACACACTGAAGCTGGACGACAATTTACGAATTGACATAGTTGAGACAATTTACTCAACGGCACACTGACGAAAAATTTCCATCTCGCGCGATCTCGCGATTGCTCGAGCACGACAAAGCTGAGAGCGACGACGTCGAGTAGGCTTGCGCGTTTCCGGTAGAAACAATTTACCGCGCGCCTCGCGGCGGCTCGGTCGGATTACGAAGATGATATCAGTCATTTTACCACGGTAATTAACGCCACCGACCATAGACGCGCGAGCAACCCCAAGAGCTTTTGTTTTCCGATGAGCGAACAAGATGCATATCCTAATTAAGAGTTGCTATCATTAATCATTCAGAGCATAAGCTTTCGCGTAAACGTACATTTGATTCAATTTCCTCCACTTTTCCCTTTACATCGTGCACTTTTTGCATTAGTCATTCTCGTCGCTTTTCTTATCGATCGAGATAACAAAGTGATTTTCCATTTCAAACGACCCATGATTCACAACAGAATTCGTAGGATATTTTCATCGGTAAAATAAGGAGCTATTATAAATTTGGAAACGTACAATCGGTCGAAATAATCCAGTCAAAGAATGCACGGAGAGACCGGTATGGTTGCCACATGTCTAATTAGGGTTGGCACAGTAATATTTGGGACAGCTATATCTGCGGTTGTCATACCCACATTGGTAAGACAAGTAGTGGAGACAATATGCGTTTTGAGCAGCAAACTTAGCGGAAGTTGCAACACAAAACAATGTAGATGCCTCTACTATTTATACGGCAACATTTTAATTTTAGTTATATGCCTCGGTGGTCGAATTGGTTGAGACGCCGCCTAGCGAGGGGGAGGTCCAGGTTCAAACCCTGGCTGAGGTGATATTTTTTCGCAATAAATTTATATTAAAATATTTAGATACTAACACCCTGTCACGGCTCTTAGTCCTTTGTCCCTTCAAATTTGTGTTTATCACATTCGAGCCGTACGAATTCGATTAATTCGTTAATTTTAGTTATTTTTGCCTTAGCCGGTCTCTCCGCGTGCGATAACAAAGTTGACCTTCTCCCATTTTCAACCTCGCACCCTTTCGCGTCGCTTTACGAGATACGACTTTAAACGTTCGTCGGGGGAAAAGAAGGATTTACGACAGAAATAATTTTCGAAGCTCCCGAGAGTTTATTCGGCACCGTGCGCTCTTAACGGCTACCATCTCGTAAAATCTTGGCGCCACGCTCTGCCTTCCTCTCCCCGGTTCATTGACTTCGTTTACGACGATCGGCCATTCTCAATTTTTTGCCACATCTCGCATGTTACTGTGCAAGTAATTTAATCCTCGCGTAAGGATTAATGACAAACACATTTAGCAGTCAAAAATATCAGATGTATTGAATACGAGAGTGTAAAATCTTTGCGAAGAAATAGCTCGATGAAACGTATCGCTCTTTGTTAACGATCTCGCACGTGAGAGAATATATTTAGGCGAACAAGGGCGCGTTGCCCGGAAATGGTCGGTCGACGGAACGAGCGATTTCGAATATCGGTGCGCGCTCCGCTCGGCCTTTTCTTCGCTTCGCGTTCCGTTCCGGCGTCGTTCCGCGCCGCTTTTTCTGCGACCGATAATAAGCGGTCGCGCTAAATTGGCCGATCATTTCAGGTGAGTCTACCTACGCGGACCTAGTAGTTAACATCCACCTCCGTCCGGTTATTATCCCGCGGGATACGGCCACCTCCCGCGTCTCTCCTTGCCTCTGGTCGCCCTCCTTGCACCTCATAAAAGATAAACATCGACGGGCAAATGAGAGTGTAACGAGGCCACTCGGAAATACGTGTCCCTGATTAGTTGTCACTGGGAAAGGCAACTCAAGTCGGCGTTAGAAAAATTAACCGTCTTATCGTTGAGACTTTTCTCATGTTTCTTCTCGCGGCTTCGCGCGGCGCAGTCAAGCGACCCAGCGAAGCGGTTCATCGTCAAAGTCGAAGACGTTCCACGTGCATTTCCCCGACGTGTCGCCGCCTTTCTCTCGGTCCTCGCCGTTCTTTCCGCGTTTGCGGAAAAAGAGAAAACGTCGAGAACGAGAGTATAACGAGCCGCCTCTCGTTCGGCTCCTCAGACATTCAGGCTACTTATTACGCGCGATTCCTCACACCGTAGATAGCAAGGGAGATTTTTTTTTGTTTTCCTTCCACACCTCCGCGCTCCTCCATTATATCCCTTTTCATCTCTCCCACGATCGTGCTCCCACCACGCTCTTCTATTCGCCGCCCCGTACTCGGTGTGCCTTTACACACCGCTACAATTGTAGAAAAGAAACTTCAACTGGAACAAGAAATCTCCATCGTGCAGCCTCTTTTTCCTCTGTCCAAGGTTGTACTCGGAACGAATTGTCGAAGGGTGTTACGGGTTTACACGAGCGATGAAAGAAATTTCCGCGAAATGAAAATCTCCCTGTGTTTTATGCATCTTGAAGGGATTCCTCCGGAAAGGGAAAAAACTCGCGATAATAAACATATAAAACGGCAATTGCAGTTTATTTGTAGCAACAATTAAAATCTCATTTGTAAATCTTCAATTGAGGATAACTCTAAAAAGAACGCTGATGCACTGACACAAACACTTTTTAAAACCAAGTAAATAGATTTACTTAAAATTATTTTTTGTACTGAAGTAAATATTTATTCCATTTAAATAAAAATATCAAATTTCAAGTAAACCTGTGTATTATATTAAGTAAATTAATTTAAATCGTTACATTTTCTACATTCAACTAAAGATTTCATAAGATAGAGAATACTATGGTATTTATTAAATGAAATCATGGTTTTTGTCAAATAAGAAATCCAATTTTCTTCGCTGTAAAACTTATATCTTAGTAAATACTTCATAGAATTAAAATAAATTTTTTTTAATTAAAAATTTTCTACTGTTTGATATTTAATAAATACTTAAATTAAAGAAATGCATGTTTTAATTTGTTTAATTTAAGTTAATAAGCTATTAGGAGCCACCTAATGAATAATTTTCTTGAGTAAAGTAATATTTTGCTGGATTAAGATCTTTT